AAGTCAAGGTTCGTTAGGTTTCTTATCCAAAGGGTAATATTCTGAAACTTGTAATTAAGATCACAAACTGAATATATACCGTTTTTTTCTTATTGGGATAAAAGGTTTCTCCCTTTTGTTAAAAATTTCAATTTAATCTAACGAACTATAAAAATTGTTTTTTATCGATAACGGTCGCAGAAGTGTAGAAATAACATGAGACAAGAAAGTTCGAAAACCAAACAAAGAACTCGTTTCGTATTTCAAAATCTACCTATGGCGTGCCACAAAAAATTTAAGAAAAGAAAAAATGCCAGATCGCACTGAAGAAATATCTCCCTGTAGATTTCTATAATCACTGGGCATACTTTATAATGTGAATCTCCAAACGTAACCTATGTTTCAAATTTGATAGGACTGAAAATCTCGAAAACTAAAAGAGCTATGAAGAAAAATAAAAAAAAAGTCATTTTCTTCTGTAGAATTACCTCCCGGATTATACAAACGTTATTCTGGGACCCCCCTGTATATTAGATTGAGTAAATATCATCATTATTCAACCCGTGTTAAAACCTGTTTGATATGTTATATTAATCGGTTATATTTTATAATCATAATTTTTCCACCAAATCAGCAGTGACAAGTTGAAAGAGTTCAAAATCAAATATGGACATTAACACGTCGATGGAAAACCAATTGAATATCATACATAAACATTAAAATTCCGGTTTTCCATTAGACATCTGTTTGTTTCGATTGCTACGCTTCCCATTCCGTATGTATACCTAATCGAAAATCGATTCCAAATAACGTTCGAAAGTGGAAACGAACACAATTGACGAGATATACATTCACCAAGTCACAAAATACTGCGATGGATAACAAATTGAGATTTTTTGAACGCAAATAAGTGCTATTAGAATTCGTGTCATTTCTTATTTACCAAGAGAATACAAAATATGGATGGTGTATCTGAATTTCACCAAAACAAAATCTCTCGTGAGCTGTTTCAGCAAACAAAAGTTCATTTCAATATGGGTCTGAAAATTCTACCAAGAAAGTTACAGCTTCTCATAGATGGGCCACCTAAAAAAGTTTCCATTTGATATTTCCGACACCTTTCAAGTGGACACGCAATTTCCATCGAACATTGTCGGAGATATGAAATGGAAAGGATGTTATGTAAGCCAACAACAGCACCTTTTTTTTAATAGAACATGAAATATTATATTGTCATGTCGAGAATTGGAAACAGAATTATACAGGGTGTCCCATAATTCATGGATCAAAAGAAGTGGGGTGGTAGGAGGAGTCATTTCCAGTCGAACTAATTGTTGATGGTTCAAAAGTTATTCAATTTTTCTGAAAATCGCGACCCATTCAAAATATTTTATAACAAAAAGGCTGTTGCGAATAATCCCATACGTTATTTAATTTCGGAACCTACCGGGTGTCAACGAATCTATTAGACAAGTCATAACTGCTAGACCATTAGGTGTATCAAAATGAGATTTGGTATAGGTAAATGGTATGTGAAGAGGAGAGTTTTCACATATTTTTCACTTTCCGGTCACTTCCGGTTTTACTGGAAATGACTCCGGTTCTAAATGTTTAAATGGAACACCCTGTATATTGTAACATTTTTGGATTTTTGAGACAATTCTAGATCAGAATGTGACATTTTAGGAAGTTTTTATGACTACTTAATTTTTTCAGTCACTTTTGAAATTACATCTAGGTGGCCATGATCGGAAGTAAACCAATCTAAGGACCTCAGGTGATATCAGAAAATTACAATCGCGAAGTTTCAGTGACAAGTATGATAGATATGAATAAGACAAGTTGGCAAAATTATATTTTCGTGTCTAACTATTATTTTTCAAATGGCGACCATTTTTTGACAAGCACTTTCCGAAAAAAGGATATTTTTACGAATCTAACGATACTAATTTATTTGCGATTGGATTACAAATAAGGACGGAAAAAATATGTAAGGAAAAATACCTTAGAACTTGAATATTTCAACCCCATCTGAGCTGGGCCTACTATCTGAGTATACTTCAGGGTTGAAAAAATTTCATAATGTGTAGTTTTATTGAAAAATAATATTTACCCAAGTTACGTGTCTTCAGCATAATATACAGGAAAAATAAACAAGGAAAACCTTTTTTATTTGTTGATCTTCGGTGAGGTATAACTTTTCCGGAGAGACTTCTATCAAAAAAATGTATACCAAATACGCACCTCTATTTTTATCACAGAATTATCCCTTAATTTTTTTCGGTGTTACCTCGAATCCATAATGTGCGGAAAAATATAGAAACTGTTTCAACAAAAAATATGTATACACTGGAAAACAAAAATGAGTGAAATTTCACTCAACGTCCACGCAATAATATATCAATTTCGGTCCACGCCCGATTGAGTTGAAATATCACCCTACTTGACTGGGTGAAATGCTAATTCATGAGCCGATGTAATCGAATTTGTTGTAAACATTCTCAGTGAAAGAAAAACTTGATGAAATATCTAGTTTAAGTTGAGAAGTCACTCAAAAATTTCAATCAGTAAATTCACTCACAACCACATATTATGCAGTCACTCTCTACAGTGTATATGATCCAATAATCTTGTTCATTGCCCATTTCGTAACGCTGATCCTTAGCCTGGGAGCAAGTAAAAATGGCTGCAATCAGAATGACTAATTTCACTATTATCGCGGGCTTTTACGTCCAATACTATACATTACGATTCAATCAACGTTAACTCTGATTACTCCTGGAATGGCCGAATAGCTGTAGGAGGAAACAATGCGCCGATGTCGCGATCTTGAGACATTGTGAATTCCGACACCAAAACCTCTCAAGATCTTAATGAGGACATAAAGAATTTGCAATCGATAATTTGATACCCGCTAGATAATTCGATACTCTGCACGACCAATTTATTCAATCTCATCACTCAATCGAAAGTAGGCGTTTGCTCGCTCATTTCATAAAAACCAGCTCTCATGAGAGGAAAAGAATATTACCTCCCGTGAGAGGAAAGGTCATGTCGTAAATGATAACTCTGAGCCAAAATAATTTTAATACTTCGTATAAAGAAAATGTCTATCGCATTTTGTTAAGGAGTTATTGACCTTGAAAGTTTGAATAAACAAAATGTATTTCATGTATAACTTTTAAACAGTTGCCACAGTATCAATGATATTTGGGCAACTCATATACTAATGCCTCTTTCGATATGTAAACAACTGTTCAGTGATTATGTTTTATACAGGATGGGACGAATTTTTTCCGTAAACTGGAGGCAGTTTTGACAGAGGTGACGAATTTGACATTTTGCTTCCACCATTTGATGCCTTCATCTTTTTTCTACAAAAATTGAATACCTATACGTCATTCCAATCAATATCTTGTACCGTTCCAGAAAAAATCCCATTCTAAAAACATACATCCCCAACATTTCAAAATTGATAATAAACGCTCTATTCATTCAATAACATCATGGTAGTTGTAGTAGTTGACACCATTCAATACTTTGTCAACACCTTGGGTGAGTTTATATTAATGATGAGCATGCATTATGGACTTGTAACAAAGTGCGATAGACATTTTTTTTATATGAAGGACATTATTTTGACTCACTCTATCATTTACGTCATGACCTTTCCGGATACCCTGTATATTGACTCCAGCACGCTATGTTGACTAATTACAGTCACCAGCCGCCATCCAATGGGCACAGGTACGTTGATTTGACATTTATTCAACATTGAATGGGTGAAAGATAGATTACTCGTTGAATTTTCAACGTTGTCTATTTGATTATGACAAAACCGTTGAATGAATATGTTTCAATAACATAAATTCAACGTGATCAGCTAACGATTCTTCGATGAATTTGTTGATGATATGTATTTTTCAACTTTAAAATAACTCTCGATTGAAAATAATAGTAGTTTAAAAAACTGAAGAAACACTCTTTCATAGATAGCTAAAATAAGAATAAGTAGAAAATAAAATAATGAAAGTGTGTTCATACATACACAATATAGAATAATACTGATTGAGAACATGTTGATATTTGTTATGTTGTGTATTTATCAGCACACTTTCATTATCTTATTTTCTACTTCTTTTTAGTTTGGCTATATATAAAAGCGTGTTTCTTCAGATTTTTAAACTACTACTTGTTTTTCATTATTTAGTTCAGCTAACTACAAAGGCGTTTTTTAGTTTTTTTTTTCTAATTATACCCAATTTCGACCAACGAATCACAATCTTCGACCCCGAGAACCGAAAGATATACGTTTTCAATAGAATCGGATCATAATAATAAAACCCGTCCGCCATATTGGATCCGCCACATTGAATTTCACAATAATTTTCACGAGAGAATCTAAATTTTCGACCCCCAAAATGGATCATGATTACAAAACTTGTCCGCCATATTGGATCCGCCATCCTGAATTTCCAAATTTTGACGAGATTATCATAATTTCCAATTCCAGAAACCCGGAGATACAAATTCTGTACAGAATCAGATCATAATTTCATTACAAAACTCGTCCGTCATTTTGTTTCTTTGTCTAACAAAAATGTCATTTTGTATTGCCACCAGAATTATGTACACCGGCCAAATTTCAAATCAATTTGCCCGTTCAAGTGGGTCAAAATCGAGTTCAAAGGAGTCAGTTACATACAAGCATACATACATACAGGTGAAGCTAATAAAAGCATGTTAAAAACGACTTATTATCACCGATATTCAACGGATGATTACTCAAACACTTCTCAACGTTTTTTCGACGTATAGGATAGGTGCCCATTGGGCTGCAAGCCTCCCGGTATAGTGAAAGAGGTTATGAAACATTTTCCAGTTTGCGACTTCGGCTTCCAATGCGACGTGAAGCGGTGCATTCCGAAAGACTGGCAATGCGACGGCCACGTCGACTGTAAAGATCAATCTGACGAACTGAAGTGTCACAAATGCGGTCCAGGTATGATCAATTGCGGCGCCGACAAATGCATAACGCAGGAGCATTTGTGCGACGGGAAAATCGACTGTCCGTGGGGACAAGACGAGAGGAATTGCCGTAAGTCCAATCGAAAAAACGATAAAAGTTTCTAATGATACATAACTGGTATGTAACTGAGATGTGACTGGTACATAGCTAGCACGTTTCTGATATATAACTGATACATTACTAGTACGTTTCTGGGTAAAACTGCATTTATCATGCGATGGGTTTTTTTCGAAATTTTTTTTAGTACTTACGTATTTTTGTCTGGAAAATACGAATTTGATAATGAAAATGTGAACAAACCATTATTTATTGAGATATTTCACTATAAAGTTACGAATTTCACCTTCTTCTTCGCCTGTCTACTGGATCGCATTTAGAACAATTTACCCTTCTTTTTTCATCATTGGACAATTTATATATATCACAATATACGACACATTTTTTTTTCTATTATATGAGTCAACTAGGAATATGATTTTCTTGTGATTTATCCATATTTAGTGAAGAGAAGGAAGAACATCATTTAAAATAATGGCGTGTGTGATATCATTCAGAAGCAATCAGTTGACATTTGACATCTCGTATTTGGATTGACTATTGATTAAATGGCCGTCATATGGTATGCATGTTCACTAAATATGGAAAACTCGCCATAAAAATCATGTTTCCTGTTGAATTTTCTAAATAAATATGTGTCATTGAAGTACATCATGAGTATAGAGAGTGTCCAATGACAAAATAAAAAGACCAAGTAGTTGTAAATTCATCCAACACAAGGCGAAATTTAGAACTTTTTCTTGAAATATCTTGATAAATAGTAGTTTGTTCACATTTCCATTATCAAATTCGTGTTTTTCAGACAAAAATACGTAAGTACCAAAAAAAAATTTCGAAAAAAACCCATCGCATGGTAAATGCAGTTTTACCCGTTTCTGATATATAACTTATATGTAATTGGTATATGTAGAGGTTGTATAACTAATATGTTATGAACGGTATAAAACTAATAATGCAACTAGAGGTTCTCAACCAAGTACTGAATTTCAAGTAATTAAGAACTTTAACAATTTCAGATCAGATGATAAAAAACGGCCAGGAAAAAAATCTAGCACAATCGATCACCTTGTCCGATTCTGGTGAAATTTCTACCAAATCTTATAGATTAATCTAAGAATTATACCATGGATTTTAATTCTCAAGAAAAAATGATGACTTGATCATTATACAGGTAAAAGCAAAAGTTATCATTATGTTTTGAAGTAAGGAGACATACCTTCTCAACACAATTGTTTTTGATTCCATGTCAGTATCTTTTCTTTAAGAGTAGATATAAGTGTTTCAAGGAAATATGGAATTTCTCAATTTTTATGGAGAATAATTCTTTTGGGATGAACTCCATAGAAGCGCTTTCGTCTTCCTGCTGCCTCCAAGACGATTCGCCCTTCAACAAGAATTCGAGGTACTATATACCTCAAAAACACAAAATTTTCAAACCAATCAATTCTTCTCTTTGATTTCTCCATAAAAATATAGGGTAGGATCAGAGAAAAATTCTTACTGTATTAACATTGATATACATATACCTCGGGAGGGGAGGAATTTGGAAAAAACGATTGGAAATATAGATAAAAAAAAAAACTTTTGAAACCAATCAATTCTTCACTTCCAATAGGTTGAGGTTGAGATGAAAGAAAAAGAATGGCTGTATTAACATTGACTTACATACCTCGGGAAAGGAACAAAAACGATTGGAAATGAATCGAAACATCTAATTTTCAGGACCGCTTGAGACATTTGCTACGGCAGTTTCGTGCTGTAATCAATTTCCAGAAATCTTTTCATTTTGGAAGTTGAATCGAAGTTCTGGTATAGGTTCTGAAATATTCAAATTCATGAAAATCAAAAAAATCTATAGATACTTTCTCAAATTACTCGTATCTTCTTTAAAAAAGGCCGTTAAGGATTTGAGGATAAAATCGTAACTTCTGTTTTTCCCTGTATAATGATCAAGCCATTAGCTTTTCTTGCGAAATCAAATCCAGGCTAACATTGCGAAACATAAATGATTTTGTCAGAATTTCATCAACATCGAACTAGAATTAAAACAGTTACAGGGTGATCAGTTTGGCAAAATTTTTCTGGCCGATTATTTTGTCGGTCAGTGTAGTTACATAGCAGTCCTCAACAAATACCATTCACATTGGCGTAACTAGGACATTTCTCTTGGGGTGGCCTTGCCAAATTTCACAATCCATGAAACAAATGTACATACATATTAGTTTTTTTTTCAAATAAACACTGTTTAAATTAGTCCGCTTTATTCAATTTTTGAACGTATATTTGGGGGATATTTAATGATCGCTGATGAGTAAGCGAGTTTTATATCTAGTTTATGGGCTTTCTGGGGTGGGCCTCAACATCCCGAGGGAGGGGGGGAAGTGCTCCCCCAGACCCCCTTGTAGTAACGCCAATGACCACTCACATGCTAACTAACAGTTGGCCTAATTCTAACAGATCTTATCCCACCATTTTCACGAAATAAAAATCTCATATTCCTTGAACCAATAGAAATATTTCATTTTACTATTTTAAATTAGGTCGTATCATCCTTAGTCGAAACTAATGAAAGAAAAATGTCGTAAGCCACCCGAATGCACAAGTGTTAGTGGATGGTGCAACGTCTTCAGCTGACTATTCTCATAAATTAACTGAAAAGCAATAAACCAGATGAGAATCATTCTACATTTCATTAGAAATTGCATCATCCTTCAGATGCATAATTGACAATGGAGTTCATTAATTTCATGAAAATCTATTGAAATAATTGAATTGAATTTGTTAGTTCCGCATAGGAACTATTTGAATTGAGTGATTTATTTTTTACGTGAGAATTATCACATATTTCCATGAAAGGAGGTGACCTGAATCTGGTAGGAATGGAAGGATCCACATTATTTAAGTGATATAACTCATTTCCAATAGGTATTTAGTATCCCAACTCAGTCATTCTTACCAGAAATTGAGATATTGTACCCTATTCCATTGAATAGGAAGATCCAAGATGACGTAACCAAATAATAGCAAATAATACTATGGAATGATATGTCGTAACCCACAGTGCAGATGCACTAACACACATTGCAGAAAAAACTCTTCATCGTAACTTCAAAACGAGTTGATAACTACTTTTTTCTACCACTAGCTATGAAACATACCATTATTTAATCCTTTTCGAGGCATGAAGTGTGTTTTCACGGTGGTTTTCTTCATTTTATGAACCACGAGTAAATAAAGACATAGCCAGCTCTGCTGTAATTAACCCGATCGCACTGTGCCGATCAGAGATTCGCAGGAATGGCACTGGAATCTAGTATAGCTATTTATCAATAACGATTTGTCATATGCTGTCATGGTCATGGCTAAGAATTGAAATAAGTGTTTTCATAGTGACAATAGGTCCATAATTCGGTTTCACAGAACTAAAATGATTGAAATATATTGCTAGTGGTAAAAAATATCAATATAAACCTTGGAGCAAAGAATATGATTACCACGGGAACTTAGACCCCTCGTAATACTGATATTCTTTACTATCTTGGTGATAAATAACTATTTCTGATATTCGAACAATGTAATCTTTGATTTCTACACATGCATTGTGATATATTGACTCCAGGAACGTTATTAGTCTCTCCTGGTAAATCCAGTCTAAGTGGGATACGAGTTGTTAGAATCAGGTCATCGAATTGTTGTTGCCGATTTTCATTATTTCCTTAGTGCGAATGAGCGAAAGGAATGGCGACGAAGGCAAAGGCCAGTTGGAGGTGTACAAGCCAGATCAGGAAAAATGGGTGCCAGCCTGTGTGGTCCATTGGGATGAGAGATCATCAGCGAGAACTATATGTCAGCTCCTGGGTTACTCGTAAGTTGAAACAGATTGTGATTACCGTGATCAGAAATCGCTTAGACCTCACGGATTTATACACTTCGTATGGTGCGCACCGATTTGCGTATTCGTATACGATTCGTATACGAATAAATCATCCTGGTATAGTATGACGCGATACGCGATAAGGGATATCCAGATTTGTGATTGAAATTGAACATTTTGAAACACAACGCCTCATATTATAGAACGGGCTTGTTTGTAGCATTGTTGTAGAGAAATCAAAAAGATACAGATCCAACGAATCCTTCACATTATGAAGATTTCATTGAGTACTATCCGACCCTCTATAATTTCGCGTCAAATAATGATAAAAAATAGTAGGAGAGGAAATGTGGAATTCACCTCGAAAATATATTTATTATTAGAGAGGGATTCAAAAATTATTCATTTTTTGTCACAAAATACTTTGTGGACCCAATATCTGTTCGATGCAGGTATCTCAATTCATAGTGAATATTCAACAACGTTTCAACGGTGTCAAATCAATTACAAAAAATACATAATATAGTAGTCAACCTCTCTTCGATAATGTGGACAAATCTTAAATATTCATATTTTCAAGGCCTACTTCTGCTTGTTGATAGGGTAAAAATTTCAAAAACAACTATTAGGCATTTTTTTCTGAAACAGCGACTATAGCTTATTCGATTAAGGCATAGATGAAATACCTCCATACAGAATTTGAACGCAATATCTCATATAGGGTGTTAGTTATCCAATGGCAAATTTTGATATTTTTGATTTTTCGATTCACCCTGTATCAATATCTGAGGTGTTGATATAACTGGTGAAGTAGTCATTCAATGGAGGAACGGATCAAATACTTAGATACGGAGTTTCATCGTTGTAACTTCTATAGGTAAACCAAACATTAATTAAATTGAAGTTGAGAATTTTTTTCGGTATGATCCATATATTTTTTCCTGGAGATATAAATAATAGTAACTAATTCTACGAAATAGTCTCCATACATAAAAATATTCATTGTTTTCTTCTTGCAGTCAATGGAGAGTGGTTGTATGTCATTCTATTTGTCTCATATTCGACATGACTTCATCAACCGAGACGATTTTCAAAATTAATGTGTGGTGAAGTCTGTGGAAAAATGTTTACTCGAGTTTTCAAAATGGTAAACCTCAACTTTAGTTTTATTGATTTTTGCTGACCTAGAAACATTTTCCTGTAGAACTTACGATGATGAAACTTCGTATCAGAGTATTCTATGTGTTTCTCCATCGAATGACCACCTCACTAGTTATATCACCTCCTTAGATTTTATTACAAGGTGAATCGAAAAAGCGAGAATTCTGAAATTCGCCATTGAATAACTAACACCCTATATATAGAAAGTATCGCGTGAGAATCTCGTATGGAGGTATTTTAGCTATGCCTGAATCGAATAGGCTAGTCACTGTTTCGAAAAAAATGCCTATATAGTCGTTTTTGAAATTTCGACCCCTTCAAGAAACAAAAGTAGGCCTTGAAAATCTGAATGTTGCGTGTTGAAATCGCAGACAATGTGTATTCGGAATTGCCTCTTCCACTATTTCATAAAATGATATACATTATTCCAAATTTTTTGGGATTTTCTCTCCTCGTATCTATAAAATAAAAATATGAACATTATTTCAATATACGTGTATAGTAAGGTCAAATCAGAGGATTTGCCCCAAAATGTCACTGCGTTTAAAGAATTTTCCTATCAGAGAGCCTGAAAGGAAAATTCACTTGCTTGTTAGTGACAATTTGTATTGAAAAAAGTTTGGAGAAGAGAAACAAAGGTACTTATATAGAAAAAATATCAAATTTTCCATTTTCTTTGGACGTTTCGGGACCGATTCTGCTCCCGTTTTCAACATAAGATATGATTTATTTCAATAGCTAAGTCGTATCTGTCTTGAAGCTTTTCAGTTTTCATTGACAATTGGTGACGTTGGCAATCAAATGAGTTACAGGATGTTTTCATTAATTAATCTTGAATTTACCATTTTCATGTTCAGATTTTAGTAGTGAATACCATGTTCTGTCTATATCAACTGAACAAGAAGCAATGCTATCGTCTCCGTTCAGAAGAATGCAAGCAGATTCCTTGATTTTTCTCTTCTGCTTGGTTGTTATCTCCTTTTCCAATGATTTTAATGAACTGTAATCCTGATATAATTGAACAAAAATATATGAATCATCAAAAAATGCACATCTTATTGATGTTTCATGTTTTGTTCAATTCCTGTTGACGCATGAATGATGATCCTGAACTTTCAGAGAATTGCCATTTCATGCACAATGATTGCGCCCAGAGAGTTGTATCATTTCTTAGAAAAAAATTCTGCCATTTTCAGGAATACGTCAAGCGATTGTGGCTTTTTGTGCTTCAAAGCAAGTCCACTACAACGGCCAAATGGTATAAAACGTCATTTTTCACGTACACAGGAAAATATATATTTGGCTCAATAATTATCGAAGGCTATATGAAAAATTCCGAGCACAAATTCCGCCATAACCGAAACCATTAATCATGTATGGTTTAAGAGAGGGCCATTCGTCGTGGTGGGTGAAAATCCTGGCCCTTTAAGGGATACGCCCGAAATAATATTATTGCGGGATTAAATGGGTTCGCAGGGTGCCTAGAGATATATACGCTGAATAAAAACACTGAGCAAACTGAAGGAAAACGTATTTAGGAAGTTTCAATTTTTTTGCTTCATCAGACGAAAGTGTATATCGACTCAATGTCGGTCAAATATTAGTATGCGACACGTTAATACGTATTTAATGAATTCGTGACTTCGAATGAGACATGAAGAAATATATAAAGTAACGAACTGCCAGCGTAGCATTTTCATTTTGCAGAAAACACCAAACCATTTAATGGGAAAATCCTTCAACTTAATTCATAGCCTCCTCCTGAATTTTCTTTGAGGATGCAAATGATACACGAATAATTTAAAGACTTATGAACTGTTTTCGGTTATCGTTCGTAATGACTTTTTTCCACCAGTAACCTGAGAAATCACCATTATTCGAGGATAAGGAGATATTACCTAGGTAGAAAAAATTGTCAATAGTGTCAATGATATTATGCAATATACACAAAGATACCGATGCGTATGCAACCAACGGAAATAATACATTCTAAAAACCAAATAAATATAGGTAGTTTAAAATACAAATCTCATTACAGCAGAAAGTAACTTCTGAAGTCCTTAAAAATGTTTGGAATAATCTGATTATTATTAATTCTGATATAAATATCACAACACAAATCATACGTGAGCTGTCACTGTCATGTGTGAATAACACCAAGAATTCAAATAACCATGACTTTCGGTAAGGACACATTTTATGACTAATCAAAACAATTTCAGCTATGATTGTTCGATGGTATCATGTGCGATATTCATAAGGTTTAAATATTCCAAAACATATTGATAAATACTGTATTTTTAATATCAACTCGGAATATTTATCAGAATCCTTCCTAACTTCATGCAGGCGGGGTACAAGCTACCTATCAAAATGAATGTCACTTAAATTCACTGACAGCCAAGTCGAATTTCCTTTCAGTGCGTTTGACAACTGAAATGCTATGTATACTTGATATATCAAAAATTCAGTAATATGTTGAGCAATGCTTAATATACACGGTGAATGGCATTGCTCCTTCAATGAAAATGAAAATCTGTATTGATAAAATATGTTGATTTTTCAGTGTTATTAGTGGAAAAAATATTATATATATCTCGGGTGAGAATGCTGCTATATAGCTCGCACTTTATATCCTTCGGCACTTCGCGCTTCTTGATATAAAAGTGCTTGTTATACAGGCTGATTCACGGTGGATGGCACATTAGACGTTTCTAGAGAACGTAATTTGGGATTTTTCTGAAAATTTGGTGCCTTGGAAAATTAGTTGTGCTCTATCGACCTAAAATATTCTTGGCGCTGCGACGTTGCCGCTTATATTGAAAAGAAGCAACAACTCTGATTTTCTGAATAGGACACCCTGTATATCATTTTTCAGATTCTCCCAGAAGAGCTGATTTCATTGACTCATAACACTTCGGGTCTAGCAGTGACAATAAGAGAGATATAGGGTGTGAAAAATCTAGATTTTTCAACTTTAAGATTTTATTGTGTCGAAACTATTCATAATTGGTCGAAACGGTTTTTATGTCCCTACCCTAACTTTTTATTTATACTATCAATTAATATTTGATTGAGATTGGTACAGGGTGGTTCAGAATTGATTAATTAATAGTACATTAAAAGCTGAGATAGGGACATGAAAACCGTTTTGACTAATTATGAATATAGTTTCGACACAAGAAATTTTTGAAGTTGGAAAATCTCGATTTTTCACACACTATATCTTTGTTATCATTCCCGCTAGACCCCAAGTGTAATAGATCGATGAAATCAGCTCCTTAGGAAGAATCTGAAAATGGAGAAATATATAGGGTGTTCCATTCAAAAAATCAAACTAATTATCCGAGATACCAAATTTTCAGTATAATCCTACGTTGTGTTCTGTTGTGTTCTCCAGAAACGTCTGTGCCATCTACCGTCCGTGAATCAGCCTGTATAATGGCTCACTTCTCTCCCTAGAGGGGGCCAGGTAGCCGTACGGACAGAGTGTCAGTATTGTAATCCGCATTCGCTTGCCGGTCGTGGGTTCAATTCTCAGCGACTGCAGAAATTCCTTGCTCGCACAAGACTCTCGAAGACATCTGAGGGTTGCTCGTAAGGAGGCAACCGAATGACGGATAGAACAATTTTAGAACAACAATTTTTAGAGGTGAATGATATACTATTATTCTCATATTGGTACAATCTCCCATGCTGCTTATTAACAACAGATTTGTACTATGGAGCGGGATCAACTTTCATCCCATACACCTGCTACTATATACCATTTCGCGAATAGACAATCTGATTATATCCGAAATGGGTCGCACGTTCGAACCTCACTCGATACTGAATTGGCCAACCTCACACATTGAAAATTTCGAGCTGAATTATATTCCTATTGTGAAACTCATTTTTGTGCACTCTCCGATACCTAGAATCTCGAACGATGGTGTTGTTAGCGGAAATTAAGTTCGACATAGATGCATTATCATGTAGATATTTCTGATGAACGGCTATGAAGGAAATTATGTACAATAAACACCGCGATTATACACTCACCGGCAAAAAAAACAGCCATCAAGAAAATTATCAAAATTGATCGCCACTGGCGTAACTACTGGGTCAAAATGCCACAAGGTGAAAAAAAATTACTAACCCTAAGAGAATATTTATCAGTGGCATGTGAGAACTTGTATACTATTTGGGACAAGGAAACAAGTCAATAACCACAAGATTATTCGTATTCCTTAAAATGTACATCTACCACTATTAACCTGTTCCATTGAATTTCAGATTGATAACCATTAGTGAACACAGCACTTGTTATTAGTGACTTATTCACTTGTCATTAGTGTTTCATTCACTTATCAGTGACCTATTCATTTGCGATTAGTGACTTATTCATTTGTCATTAGTGACTTGTTTACTTGTCATTAGTGACTTAACTTCACAAACGATAAGATTTCCATTAAATTCTTATTTCGCTAACACAGTAGCTTCGTCAGTTGATATACTGGAATCCCTAGAATGCCTGGGTGCTAACAACAGAGTCACTTTGCTGTGGGTGCCTGGACACAATTGAACATTATTCCACAAATTGTTTTTATGTCGTTACGAAATATTACCTATCATGCTAATTGAACTCGGAAAGGCTTAAACGTAAAGGCTGAAATACTGAAATAAAATATCGACGCATTCAAACGAGTAATAACAAATCCGCTTAAGGCTAAGCGATTAATCAAATTAGGTAATTAATTGATATAAAGTAAGAATAACATTCGAAAATATTGTAAATTCACTACTTATACTTCTATAGGGTGTCCCAGACCAAGAGAATGTGGGCAATCTCCCAAATTAGGATAGGACACAAAATGATAATGGTACTTCTATTTCGAAATACTACATCCCTATACTGAAATATTCACCCTTCAAAGAATGGCGGGATTCAACTGTCTGAATATATATTTCTTTTGATTTGAGAATTGAATATTTGAAAATACCAGTTGATCTCGTTAAGGACTCACTGTCCATGTGGAATCTTTATTTTTCAACAGTTTTGGAAGTCTCCTTCTTCTGATATAGTGAAGTATTTTTAATTCGCATTCAACAAGTCGTAAATCTCATTGTGGATATTCGAATGAAAAACGAGAACATCCTTTGGAACAACCTAACCTAACTTGGCCTAAATACATTGAAACATGGGCACTAGAAAAATTCCTTATTTCCTTCTTGTTGTTCAGAAGAATACAATCTCCTTCTTTGTCAAACTCTTTGCAAGGAAAATTCCAAGAAGAAAATGTGTCAGATTGTTAACAAAATTAATTTCGTCTTTACATTCTAGATGCTGAAATATAATTCCGAATTTCCACCCAGTATATCTTTGTTCCCAGAGTGGCGAACTATAGCAGACTACTTCGCGGTGTCGACATCAAATCACCAACGATTCATGACACAACAGCCATTTGGCGATTCAATCAGAACAAGAGACCGAAAAACCTGATACGAGAATTCGCCTCGTGCAACGAAAAAGACTACCCTACAGTCGACCTATCATGCATGCATTACAGTAAGTAAAAAACACACTAGAGTCTAGCCATAGCACCATATCGAGATAATATTGCGCCTGGCTCGCTGCTCGCTGGGCGCGAGAAACTGAAAATTTCCGGCCGATCCTGAGAAGAAAGAAACATTATTGAAATAGCGAATCACTATCGACGTAACCAATAAATGCCTACATAGTATTTTCTCGATTAATAACTTCGAAAAAAAAAATAAAAAAAGATTAGCTGGAGTAGGGATCGAACCCCGGTCTTTTCGCTCGGAGGAAGGAACACTACTCTAATGAAGTCCACGCTTCTGGCAAAACAAACTACAAAACAATTTTATACGCTCTTGACTTGCCACCGTGACTGCCTTGACAATATTTCCCGTATAGTGGTGCTATGGGTAGGTTCTAATGAAAACATTACCAGCGCACCTCTTCCTGTGAGCGACTGCAAGAAAATAAAAGTGCCCGGACTATATTATTTATCCAAGACCAAGAAACACAAATAATGAGGTTCGTCGGAAATACATTGGACCATTTTAGGATGTTTTGAATGATTACTATGATACAGTGCTTTCGTGAAGTACTAGATACTACACCTTTTCCAATTCTAGTTCAAAAAAGGTCATTTGTATTTCCAAATTGTCATTTGAATTCCAAAAAGCATCGTTTGTATTTCAAATTAGTCAATTTAATTTCGAAAAGTATCAAATGTATTTCGAAATTATCAATTCAATTTCAAAATGCGTCAATTTTTATTTCCAATTAGTCATTTTAATTTCAAAAAACATCAATTTGTTTTCAAAGGACCCCGCACATTTTCTATATAAAAATGGCGTTCTGTCGAAAATTATAATCAATAGCCTAAGTCAACCCAATAATACGAGGTGGCTCATTAAACTTTATTTTCTAAACATCAGCATTCACGGAACACCATGTATAATCAATACATATAATGAATCAATTTCATGTAAGAAGAACATATCGAATGATAATTTTCTGAAAATTGCAAAAATTGCAAAAATTCCTGAAAATTGCAAAAATTGCAAAAATTCCTGAAAATTGCAGAAATCGCAAAAAGGCCTGAAAATTGCAAAAATTGCAAAAATTCCTGAAAATTGCAAGAATTGCAAAAATTCCTGAAAATTGCAAAAATCGCAAAAATTCCTGAAAATTGCAAAAATTGCAAAAATTCCTGAAAATTGCAAAAATTTCTGAAAATTACAACAATCGCAAAATGCCTGGAAATTGCAAACATCGCAAAAATGCCTGAAAATTGCAAAAATAGCAAAAATGCCTGAAAATTGCAAAAATCGCAAAAATGCCTGAAAATTGCAAAAATCGCAAAAATGCCTGAGAATTACAAAAATCGCAAAAATGCCTGAAAATTGAAAAACTTCCTGATAATTGCAAAAATTGCAAAAATTCCTGAAAATTGCAAAAATTCCTGGAAATTGCAGAAATCGCAAAAATGCCTGGAAATTGCAAAAATCGCAAAAATTCCTGGAAATTGCGAAAATTGCAAAAATTCCTGAAAATTGCAAAAATTGCAAAAACTCCTGAAAATTGCAAAATACCTGAAAATTGCAGAAATAGCAAAAATTGCAAAAATTCCTGAAAATTGCAAAAATTGCAGATTCCTGAAAATTTTAAAAATCGCAAAAATTCCTGAAAATTGCAAAAATTGCAAAAATTCCTGAAAATTGCAAAAATCGCAAAAATTCCTGAAAATTGCAAAAATTGCAAAAATTACTGAAAATTGCAAAAATTTCTGAAAATTATAACAATCGCAAAAATGCCTGAAAATTGCAAACATCGCAAAAATGCCTGAAAATTGCAAAAATAGCAAAAATTCCTGAAAATTGCAAAAATTGCAGAAATTCCTGAAAATTGCAAAAATTGCAAAAATTCCTGAGAATTGCAAAAATCGCAAAAATTCCTGAAAATTGCGAAAATCGCAAAAATGCCTGAAAATTGCAAAAATCGCAAAAATGCCTGAAAATTGCAAAAATCGCAAAAATGCCTGAGAATTACAAAAATTCCTGATAATTGCAAAAATTGCAAAAATTCCTGAAAATTGCAAAAATTCCTGGAAATTGCAGAAATCGCAAAAATGCCTGGAAATTGCAAAAATCGCAAAAATTCCTGGAAATTGCAAAATTTCAAAAATTCCTGAAAATTGCAAAAATTGCAAAAACTCCTGAAAATTGCAAAAATTCCTGAAAATTGCAGAAATAGCAAAAATTGCAAATATTCCTGAAAATTGCAAAAATTGCAGATTCCTGAAAATAGTAAAAATCGCAAAAATTCCTGAAAATTGCAAAAATTGCAAAAATTCCTGAAAATTGCAAAAATTGCAAAAGTTCCTGAAAATTGCAAAAATCGCAAAAATTCCTGAGAATTGCAAAAATCTCAAAAATGCCTGAAAATTGCAAAAATAGCACAAATTGCAAAAATTGCACAAATTCCTGAAAATTGCGAAAATTCCTGAGAATAGCAAAAATTCCTGAAAATTGCAAAAATCGCAAAAATTCCTGAAAATTGCAAAAATCGCAAAAATGCCTGAAAATTGCAAAAATAGCAAAAATTTCTGAAAATTGCAAAAATTCCTGAAAATTGCAAAAATTTCTGAAAATTGCAAAAATCGCAAAAATTCCTGAAAATTGCAGAAATCGCAAAAATTCCTGAGAATTGCAAAAATCGCAAAAATGCCTGAAAATTGCAAAAATAGCAAAAATTCCTGAAAATTGCAAAAATTGCGCAAATTCCTGAAAATTGCGAAAATTCCTGAAAATAGCAAAAATTCCTGAAAATTGCAAAAATCGCAAAAATTCCTGGAGATTGCAAAAATCGCAAAAATGTCTGAAAATTGCAAAAATAGCAAAAATTTCTGAAGATTGCAAAAATTGCAAAAATTTCTGAGAATTGCATAAATCGCAAAAATTCCTGAAAATTGCAAAAATCGCAAAAATGCCTGAAAATTGCAGAAACAGCAAAAGTTGTAAAAGTTCCTGATAATTGCAAAAATTCCTGAAAATTGCAGAAATCGCAAGAATGCCTGAAAATTGCAAAAATTGCATAAATGACTGAAAATTGCAAAAATTGCAAAAATTCCTGAAAATTGCAAAAATCGCAAAAATTCCTGAAAATTGCAAAAATTCCTGAAAATGGCAAAAATCGCAAAAATTCCTGAAAATTGCAAAAATCGCAAAAATTCCTAAAAATTGCAGAAGTCGCAAAAATGCCTGAAAATTGCAAATATTGCAGAAGTGACTGAAAATTGCAAAAATTGCAAAAATTCCTGAAAATTGCAAAAATTGCGAAAATTCCTGAAAATTGCAGAAATCGCAAAAATGCCTGAAAATTGCGAAAATTGCAAAAGTTCCTGAAAATTGCAAAAATTGCAAAAATTCCTGAAAATTGCAAAAATCGCAAAAATTTCTGAAAATTGCAAAAATCGCAAAAATTCATGAAAATTGCAGAAATCGCAAAAATTCCTGAAAATTGCAAAAATCGCAAAAATGCCTGAAAATTGCAAAAATAGCAAAAATTCCTGAAAATTGCAAAAATTGCACATATTCCTGAAAATTGCGGAAATTCCTGAAAATAGCAAAAATTCCTGAAAATTGCAAAAATCACAAAAATTCCTGAAGATTGCAAAAATCGCAAAAATGCCTGAAAATTGCAAAAATAGCAAAAATTTCTGAAGATTGCAAAAATTGCAAAAATTTCTGAAAATTGCATGAATCGCAAAAATTCCTGAAAATTGCAAAAATCGCAAAAATGCCTGAAAGTTGCAGAAACAGCAAAAGTTGTAAAAGTTCCTGATAATTGCAAAAATTCTTGAAAATTGCAGAAATCGCAAAAATGCCTGAAAATTGCAAAAATTGCAAAAATTCCTGCAAATTTCAGAAATTCCTGAAAATTGCAAAAATTGCAAAAATTGCTGAAAATTGCAAAATTCGCAAAAATGCCTGAAAATTGCAAAAATTCCTGAAAATTGCAAAAATTGCTGAAAATTGCAAAAATCGCAAAAATGCCTGAAAATTGCAAAAATTGCAAAAATGCCTGAAAATTGCAAAAATTGCAAAAATTCCTGAAAATCGCAAAAATTCCTGAAAATTGCAAAAATTGTTGAAAATTGCAAAAATAGCAAAAATGCCTGAAAATTGCAAAAATTGCAAAAATTCATGAAAATTGCAAAAATCGCAAAAATGCCTGAAAATTGCAAAAATTGCAAAAATTCCTGAAAATCGCAAAAATTCCTGAAAATTGCAAAAATTCCTGAAAATTGCAAAAATCGCAAAAAAGCCTGAAAATCGCAAAAATTCCTGAAAATTGCAAAAATTGCTGAAAATTGCAAAAATCGCAAAAATTCCTGAAAATTCAAAAATCGCAAAAATTCCTGAAAATTGCAAAAATTCCTGAAAATTGCAAAAATTGCAAAAATGCCTGGAAATTGCAAAAATCGCGAGAATGCCTGAAAATTGCAAAAATCGCAAAAATTCCTGAAAATTGCAAAAATCGCAAAAATTCCTGAAAATTGCAAAAATTTCTGAAAATTGCAAAAATTGCAAAAATGCCTGAAAATTGCAAAAATCGCAAAAATGCCTGAAAATTGCAAAAATCGCAAAAATTCCTGAAAATTGCAAAAATCGCAAAAATGCCTGAAAATTGCAAAAATCGCAAAAATTCCTGGAAATTGCAAAAATCGCAAAAATTTCTGAAAATTGCAAAAATTCCTGAAAATTGCAAAAATCGCAAAAATTCCTGAAAATTGCAAAAATCGCAAAAATGCCTGAAAATTGCAAAAATCGCAAAAATTCCTGAAAATTGCAAAAATTCCTGAAAATTGCAAAAATCGCAAAAATGCCTGAAAATTGCAAAAATCGCAAAAATTCCTGAAAATTGCAAAAATCGCAAAAATTCCTGAAAATTGCAAAAATTCCTGAAAATTGCAAAAATCGCAAAAATGCCTGAAAATTGCAAAAATCGCAAAAATTCCTGAAAATTGCAAAAAT